CGCATGCAGTTTGTTTTCTTGGTTTGTTCTGTGTCTCCTCCACTGTACAGTGTGTTATTTTTTTTTTAGCAAGAATAATACCTAGCATACTATAGATACTGAATTAAGTTTGACTTTAATTCAATTATCATCATTGTAGAAGTAAAATGTTTTAAAAACTAATATTGAAAATAAAGTTTAATTACTAACGAGAGCTTCTCCATGGCTTGAAAAATAATCATTTTGAAGGTTTTATTTGATTTACTGCCTTTCTAGAGGAATATTGAACTTTCAGGTATATTAGTGACCCATTGCAAGTTTGAAACTAGTCATAGGAGTTGTTATAGTAATTCTGTCATTATGGGAATTCTGCTTTATGGGAATTGTCTCCTTTAATTCTCAAAATGACTCTATCACCTCAATTTGTAGATGTGGTGTGGTGGTTTTAAAATAGGTCTTTAAATTCTTTGATAGTTTTCCCCTTAAAAGGTAGAGTCTAATTTGCCTCCCCTTGCATGTAGTTTGGCTTCATGGCCCATTTCTGTAGAATAAAATATGGTGGAAGGGCCAGTGTTTGCTGCTGACAATTTGATCTTCAAAAGCCTTATGGCATCCTCAAGTCTTCTCTCCAGGATCACCTAATCTGGGCCTGAGTTTTCTCATATTTCAAGTGAGGGGAATGGATCAGAAGATCCCAGCTGTTCAGGCTGATGAAAATCAGCTCTGCGTCAGCATCCAGTAGTCTTTCTGGCACGGACAGCAACATCATAGTACTTACAGCTCTGTGCTGGGAAGAGTGACACTTTGGCAGTTTACTTTGTTGAATTTGGGGAGAAAGATGAGATGGTGTGAGGAAACTCAAGCAAACACAGAGAGGGACTCATGTGGCTAAGAGCTGAGGCTTCCTGCCCGAAGCCATGTGAGCTGCCATCTTGGATGGTTCTCTAGCCCCAGTCAAGCCTTCAGTGACTGCAGCTCTAGGAATACTTCAGCAAATCTCATGGAGACCCTGAGCCAGAACTACCCAAGTAAGTTGCCACAATCTGTAAGCCACAAAACTGTGAGTTGACAAATGTCTTTTGTTTTAAGCCATTAAGTTTTGGGAATAATTTATGCCATATTAAGTGACAAACACATTTGGATATAGGAAGGACAGAGAGATTAAGAGGCTTTATCAGATAGCTAGTGGTGATGATGCAGGAATTAGAACCTAATCAACATGATCCTAGAGCCCACATGTTCAAACACTGTACAATACAAGAGGTCAACATTACATCTTATAACAGAAGGAGACAATTGTCCATTTTAGTGTCACTGTCAGGCAGTGGAAACAATCTTTCCTTGGATAGTAAACTGGTCATACTATATTGAAAGGTCATGCTAGGCGGCTACTAACTTTGCTTTCAAGTTCTCGTTCTGTCCTAGGTTTCGTTCAGCATATAGTGGCCATCTATCTGTCCATCATTTCTCTGTCATTTTTTGAGTTTCTACTCATTCCTACTTCCAATGATATAATTTGGGTAGAACTGTCAATTATCACATTCATGTTCCCTATAGATGGGCTTGTGACTTAAGCCTGGCCAATCACAGTGTTCTATCCATGTCTGATTACAGTGACTAAGCCACAATTTGAGCACATGCATCAAGAAGAGCCCTTCCCTGGGACTTACAAATACTGTATGAGGTATAGGCCCAGGTGATGTGAGCTTCCAGGTGCCATATTCTCAGCTGTGTGGAAGGAGCCTATCTTTAACAGGTAAAATACCAGCACATAGAAAGAAGCACACAGAGAGAGGACATCAGACTTTGAATCCATCCAGTCCTGAGAACAATTCCATCTTTTCCCAATCTCTATGTGTCAATAAATTCTCCATGTTAGGTTGCATTGAATTTTCTATCACGTGATCTTGGACTATGGTTAGCACTACAAGTCTACCCCAGCTTGTGAGAGATGGTGTATACCTCCAATTTTCCATGGGCAACGAGAGTGCTCCATCATCTGAAGAGACTGGAGCAGCATTTCCCACAGACAGTGAGGGCTCTTCCCTGATTCATCCCTCAGGAAACATCAGTCTTTCCTGGAAGCCAATGGTAGTCTGGGGGTAAACTTGCAATAAAATAGTGTGACGAGTGGTGGGTCGCCTGTCACTGCTTCAAACCTTAGTCATCTGTGTATCCTTTCTTTCCTAAGTTGCTCGCTCCTCCCCCAGTCCTCAATGCACACACATCCTGTTAGTCATCAAGTCCTGTTGATCTGGATCAAATGTTGCATGGAAGTAGGTGGAGTAACCATAATGAAAATTAGCTGGTTCTGCCTTCTGAACATCTCACAAATCCAGTTTTACTTCTTCATTTTTATTGCTTCCACCAGGGACCACTGCCATTGGTCTCCCTGCCTGTAACATCAACCCCTGTCGTCTATTTCTCATACTTCTTCTAGAATTTGCTTTCCAGTGCCCACTTTTCATTGTCATATGCTTCTGATTCAGTTTTCCACTGCTGACCTGCTAAATCACAAACTTCTTAGTCTAGCCTTCAAGACTCTCCATGAGCTGACCCCCATTCACTATCTGAGGTCCTATCACCGTCACAAATCCATTGCTTGGTCTCACACCCCTTCCATTGCAGAACTGCCAGCCACCTCCTCTTACTGCTTTCTCCGAATTAAAACCCTTCTTTTCTGCATCGTGAAGATCTATCTGTCTTACCTCCTCCATGAAGTATTTCCTGAGCATGGCAGTCCACAGCGAATACCCACTTCTGTGACCTCTGAAATAATCCTTCTCTACACCAGGGTTTTTCAAATTTCCCTCACATTTCCAGGGAACATTTGGCCAGTCAAGTTTTTGGCATTTTTTAAAAAAACTATTGATTATATATTTAAAATTGGTTTGGGTATATTATTCCCAAACGCAGTTTTTCTTTCTTGTCTTCTCCTTCCAAATTATATCCTTCTACTGTGGCGGTGCATTTATTTTTAAGAACAAATTAAGGATCTTTAAAATTTGTTTGGCTACCTACAGATCAAGAGTTGCTTATTATTATTATTATTTTAAACGATGACCATTGGGAAAATACTGATTTATGAAGAGGGAAGAAAACTACTATAACAATTGGGAAGGGGGTTAAGAAAGAGTAATATAGGGCTGGCGGAGTGGCTCAAGAAGTAGAGCGTCTGCCTAGCAAGTGTGAGGCCCCCAGTGCCGCCAAAAAGAAAAAATAGCAAAAGAAATAGAGAGGAGGTGAATTTGATCAAAGTACATTATGTGTGTGTATGGAAATATCACAATGAAACCCCTTTGTATAATTAATGCTAATAAAAATTTAAAAAATTTCCATAGTTTCTAAAGCAATGTGCTTTTGTATTTATTTCCACACCTTCACCATTTCTTCCTCACATTATAAATAGGGGATTTTTGGCAAGAAATGGGAATAAAACCTGTGGTATTAGCACAGTATGACAAGCATTCATTGTGTATCATTCTCCATCAGCAGCAGCATAGCTGTTTGTGATATGAAGATAAGCAAACCCCTGCAGGAGCATCTCACATGGATTCCATGTCGAAGGACATTCTATGCAGAGGGAATAGCATGTGCAAACTCACAGGTCTTGGAGTGGGCCAGACATGAACACTGTGATCGGAATCTATAGAATATTTTAAAACTAAAAAAATTGGCGACTTTTTAGCTCGATTATCTCTGAATCAAACATTCCCATTTCACTTGCCATCTCACTTTGCAGGAGGGCAGTTTGAGGGTCCAGATTCAGGCATAAATTACCTTGGCTGAGTCCTCTGGGATGGACAGGCCATGCCCCCTTATACACTGATCCTCCAGTTCCCATACCACCTTAGGAGTTTATCATCCTTGCCCATGCAGAGAGAGGACAGCTAGTGACCTACCCATGGTGTCACAAATGGTAAATGACCCAGGGAGGATGCGAGTTACACCCACCCCACATCTGCAGAGTGACTAGCTGGACATTTTTGGGTGTTGGGAGGAAGATGACCTCTGCTCCAATTTCAGAGCAGCCTGCCAACTCTGGTTCGGAGACTTTTTTTTTTTTAAACAAGGGGAATCCTTTAAGCACGACGGTGACCATTTGCCCATGACATTACTAGGAAGAGCAACCTAAGAACAGGTTTGGATTGTAGAGAGCCTTTCCAATCCCTCCGGGCTGGAGCCTAGCACGTAGTAGGAACTCCCCGTGTTAAGCCACGGGATGCACCATTACACTCCTTGCATGGCCGTCTCTTCCCCCTTGGTTTCAAAGTCCAATGTGGGCAGGGTCTTGGCGTGCCATACAGGGACACTGCAGTTGGGTGGACTTTGGGAAATGTTTGTTGATCAACGGATGAGTGAATGGATAGCGGGGCGGGAGGGAAGGCCACGCCTGGCCCCAAAGACTTCGCAGGGTTTATGAAGTGGCCAAGCTGTCTTGGTTCTCCAGGGCGCCTCGGGATGGGCCATTTCGTCGTCACCTCCCTGCCCCCCACCCCGTGGCCTCCACTTCTTACAAACCATCCGGGAAGGAGAAGCCGCGCAGCCACGAGGGGCCAGGTCTCCCATGGCGGCACCCATTCCCTTTCCGGGGGAGGCGAGGCGTGGAGACCCCCGGGCCGGACAACACGGGCTGGGGTCCCTTCCCCGGGGCCCTCTACCTGCCTCCTCCGTCGCCCCTTCGCGGTCCCCGGGCCAGGCGCGCCCGGCGGGCACCTGGCCGGCCACCCCCGGGGGCCCCGCGGGGCCGATCCGGGGCGGCGGGGCGGGCCCAGAGCTGCTGAGCTCGGGGACCGGTCCCCCGGGGCGCGGCCGCCAGCCGCCCCCGCCCCGAGGGCCGGGCCGGGCTCCCGGGGGGCGGGACTCGCCTAGTGGCAGCAGCGTCCGGGCCGGCGGCGGGCGCGGGGCGGCTTCCTGCAGGCGGCGCCGGGGCGAGCCGTGGCCGGCTGCAGCCACCGCCGCCAGGTCGCGGGGTCGCGGGGGGCCGCGGCGCTCGGGCCGCGTCCGTGCTCCCGGGCGCGCTGCGCGGCCGTCGCTGCTGCCCGCGCTCGTGCCACCACCGCCACCGCCAGCGCCGCCGCCGCCGCCGCCGCCGGTTACGCCAGCCCCGCCGCCGCCCGCTCTGATTCTGCGCATAGGCAGCCCCCAAGCCTGTCATTCTGCAAAAACACAGTTTACTCAACACACCACACACACTCGCACACACACGCGCGCACACACGCGCGCACTGCCCCTCGCGCGCACACGCACGGAGGGCGCGAGCGAGCAGACGCGCACACCCGGCGAGCCAAGTTCCGCAGCCTGGCATGGCTTCTGGGGACCTTTACGAGGTACGGGGACGCGGGGCGCGGGCCGGCCCCAGCCCGCGGGCGGCGGCGGGCGGGTGGCGGCGGGGACCGGGCCGGGCCGGGCCGGGCGCGAGCGGAGTTCCGAGCCGGCGGCGGCGGGCGGCGGCGGCGGCGGCGGCCGGAGGGTGGCGGGGGCCGGGCGCGCCTCCTCCCGCCCGCCGCCGCCTCCCGCGGCGCCCGCGCCCGCTCCCTCTTTCTCTTTCTCTCGCACACACACTCTCTTACTCCATCTACTTTGCGGCCTTGGAGGGGAAGGAGGAAGCCGGGCGGAGCCGGGCAGGGGAGGTAGCGGTCCCGGGGAGGTGTTTCTCGCCCGACGAGCCGCCTCGAGTGCAGAAAGTACAGGTAAAAGTCGGCGCCGGACGTGCCGGGAATGCGGGGGGCCGCGGCGGGGGTGCGCGGCCCGGCTTGGGCTGGGGAGGGGTGGGGGGCCGCGGGAGAGGAGGGGGCGGGCGGTCGCAGCGCAGCCCCCGGCAAAGGGTGATGCCGGGTGCTGGGGGGCTGCGAATGGGGCGGCTGGTGGGGGGTCTTGGGGACCACCCGGCAAACCGCTCCCCAGGGAGGGACACTGGGCCTCCTCCCCTCCCCCCACCTGCTGCCCCCGCCACCGGCTCGGAAGCCCTCCAGGCTGGGGTGTGAGGGGCAGTCCCTGCGGGTGTCGTGCTGGCCGGGGACGATAGGGGGCGCTGCACAGGGCTCCCGGGTGGAAGGCAAGAGAACATGGAAGGTGGGTGGTAGCTCGTTGCAGGGGACATGGATGTGAGTCCTTCTTTGAACACTCGCCGCCTGCCACTCTTAGCCATACCTGGCTCCAGGTTCACGCAGGTAGTAGCCAGCACCGGATAACTGGAAATGGTTTCAAGAGTGGTGAAGGAAGATATTCGTCCGGCACCTTTCAAACAATGGAGAAAGACCCCCCTGGTCTCTGGGGTAGCCCTGGACCACAGCTGTTCCTTGCTTTGGATTTGGACAAGTGGACAAACAGGGAACAACCACCATTCCCTGGGAAGAATATACCCAAAGAGGTGTGGGCTCCCAAGAAAAGGTTTGGGATAAAGACACCAAGAGACAGGCCATTATTCAACCAGATGGCCTGCTTATCCTCCAAGAAACCAGCGTCTGGGGTCAGCTGGACGTGGGCTCCCCTCAGAATCAATTGGTGAACGCTAGCTCTGATCCTCAAGGCTTTTGGTTAAATTGAGATGAGCACCTAGAAGGGGTGAAATTAGCCTTTTGGGTAAGAGCCTGCAGAGCCGATTCACCCACAGTGAACCTTTTACCTCTGGGCCCTCATGGGCAGTCCAAGCTTTTCAGATGGTGATTTTGCTGGTTGGTGTGAAAGGAGAATGGAAAATTGGCCAGTCAGCCCCTTGGCCTCCTGTGTGACCAGGGTCTTTTGGATGATTCTGGGCTTGGTGAGGCCCAGTCACAGACCAGGAGCCAGTAGGCTCAGGTAGAGTGGATGAGCTAGATCAGAAAGAATGATGCAAGTTGTGGTGGTCTCTACCCTGTGGCCTTCCTCATTGCTGTGCTGATAGAGAAGACGAAGTTGGATAGAGACCTGGTGAAGAACTTTGGCAAAGGTGGCCAAAGGACCACGCAAGCTCCTTGGTCGCTTTCAAAATGGCAGAGAAATTTCTGAAGCCAAGCCAAAGTACAGTGAAATGGAAAGTTTGGGCTCCCTGAAGTGTAACCAGCATTACTGGGACATTGGCCAAAATTAGATACCACTCAGGGGCAAAGCTGACCTTGTTGGGGTCATGGAGTTTTCTACCCATTGATAGTGAGTTGTCTTAGAGCTACTGACCTTGCCTAGTGTGACAAGTGGCATTGTGTAGGCTTTAAGAGGACATGTCAGGAGCCGTCAGTACTTCCCTATTTAAAGTTTGGAACTTATGAACCTTCTGGGGATAATTTCTTGTTTAATGTTCATATGAAACTGCCCTTCTTAACATTGGTAATTATAGTGCCAGATGAGTGTGAAGATGGGAGTTCCCACAATGGCCTTGAACTGTCTTAGCATCTCAAGAGTTTTTATTGAAGTTCAATGAGCAGGACAATAATAATAATTACTTCTGTGATAGTAGGTAATTGTACTAGATGTAAAATGGTTTTCCTGTGGCCAATTATTTGCATAGTCATTACTGAAAGGGCTAAGTTGCATTATGAGAATATAACCAATGTCAACATTTTTATAGCCTCTGTCTACATTACATGACATATACTCAGGGATTTAATTTGTTGCTCAAATTTAACTTTAAAAACAATTAAGAAGTGCTAAGTATACATTAGCACATATATTTGTCATTGTAAAATTGTATGCATTAAAAACAGAATGTTGATTTTCGGAACAATCTTGTAATATCCAGGACAATGATTGACCTTGAAAGAAAAAAAATCTCATTCTAAATTATGGTATTACCTTAATTAAATATTATACTTGAGTGTACATAAAATGGCTTCTCAGAACCTTTAACCAATAAATCCCATTTTGAGTGGGCTCAGAATGATTATATTTGTGATTGATATATTTCACCTGTATCTGCTGACATTTTCTTTGACCTTTTATGGTGACAATGTGATTTGGATTGTAGAGGTTCGTCATCTTTCTTTGGTGTTTCAGACAAGTCAGTTGTAAACAGTAAACCTCTCCTAAATAGCATTTTAAAGAAATAGGTGCTGATTTTAAAGACAGCAGAAAGTGAAAATTGTGTTTGTGCAATGACATTCTTCAGTCATAGTGAAGAAATATGGAACCAAGTTCAGGTTCCAAATTTTTGGAACTTGATAGATTGTGAGCAGAGTTCTGTTCCTCTTCTGATGCACTGTAGCCACCATCTTTTTGAAGGTGATTTGAAATATTGATTGATATGTTAGCCAGATATCTGGATATGAAATGAAATTTCTTTGCAGATGCTCTAGGCTTTGTTCTGCTGAATGTAGGGATCATGAGTGGTAGGTCCTGTGTGTGTGTGTGTGTGTGTGTGTGTGTGTGTGTGTGTGTCTTGTCTCCATGGTAGATGAGAAAAATGGATTTGGGGCTGGCTGGCAGAATGACTCAGGTGGTAGAGCGCCCACCTAGTAAGCATGAGTACCACTAAAAAGAAAAAAAGAAAAATGGATTTGAATGTCTTCAGATGGAGCATGTGACCTCTAGTTTGTCACTCTGTCCTCAAGGCCTCCACTCTTACATTAGTATTAATCTAACTCCAGTAGGCATTGGAGTTTGCAACCATGCGTGGATTCTAGCCAACCATTTGTTAAGATGTTTGAGTATCAGGAAGATATCATCAGTGGAATCAGGAACCCAGTTTTCTTGTCTTGTCCATCCCTGGGTTCCTAGCTCTTTGTACCTTCAATTACTCATTGACTGTATCAGTGATCAGAAGACTGGTTTCAGTGTACCTAAACCACCTGGGGTGACCTTTGTTATTTTTCTTTTGTGAATTGCTCTCCCTTTTCTTTTCTTTTCCAGCTTATGGTCTCTTGGTGGTGGTAACACCATGGGTAGGGGTGGCTCAGTTCTCTCTCTGGAAGGAAGTATGGCAGAATCCCTTAGCAGAGAAGCAGAATGTCCTGCAATAGAAGGACTGAAGTAGTTACGTTTCAACCATGTGGCTTTCCTTGCTGTTGAGTGGTGTTTTACAGCCCCTGCCCTGTGATTTGCTGGCACTATGGAGAGGGCTTCACTTTGTTGATAAAAATGTTCAAAGAGAATGCTTACTGTATGTCCACAGAGGAAGGCGGTAGTCGCCAAGTTGAAGCTTACTGAGGTGGACCTGATGGTTCCTTGTTTGTTAGCATTAAGTTTGCGTATATGTCCCAAAGTTCTGTCTTAGAAGTATGAATTGGTTTAAGATGAGAATTAAGTCTTTTTTGGGGGAATTGGTATGTATTGTTCCCTCCATATATATAGAACTATGTATACATGTGTGATTAGGCATATGTTTGTATAATATGCAGAATAAAATGCTCTCATTTCATTCCAAATAAAAATCACAGAATAATTTTGTTTCGTTGAAAGAAATTTACTTTAATTAAAGTGGACTCTGTGCAACAATGAATACAGGTGCCTCCACTGTAGCACCATAGATGCACCTTGTGTTCTACAAAATCCCACACTCACAATAACTGATTATGGGACAGACTCCTGAAAAAAATCTATGGAAGGAGCCTTGTAACCAGAACACTAACAAAAACAAAAACAAAAACAAATCTAGTCAGTCCCACTGGCTGATGTTTACTCTTTGCAAATCATTCCATTCTTTACTGTGTTCAAATTGAGCTTGCCTTTCCTTTTTCTCTCTGTGGATTGCATGGGGCAGTCGCTTCTGATAAAGACTGTTTCCATCAAAATTGAATCTGGTTCAGGGTGTGGCTTTCTTCATTCAGTTGTGTGGGGAGAAATGTCTTTGTAGCTCCTTCATCTGTTCTTGAGGTTTCTCCAAGCAGGTTAGCAGAGTGGCAGGTGCAGTGGTTCTTGAAGTCACTTAATCAGCCACTACTCACATTAAAGGAAACCACAGGAGCACATTTCTAGCTTCGTTCTAGGGTCTTCATCCATTGGCAAGTCTTTCTCTTTTCTTGTGACAGTGCTTGCCTATGATTGCTTCAAAATATTACGAAGCTAGGGAGAAACGCATTTGAACCAACACAACTTACTTGTTCTACTGTGGTGTCATCCCTCTACTTGCCGGTCACATCTAGGAAATTCGTATCAAATGAGCTAGTGGGACAGATGGTCTGGTAGAACTTCTTGGATGTCTGTACCACTAGCTGAAAAGATACATACCTTCTGAGAAGAGGTTCTAGCTGAGTTGGACTGATTCTTTGGCACATAGTAGCTCTGGATGGATATGAAGTGGGTATATGATTCTCCTACCTTTTTGAAAGTCATTTTAAGTGACCCTCAGTAGCCTTATTTTCAAGTAGCCTTTCTCTTAGCTTGGGTCATTCCTTACTGCAGAAGGTCATTTCTTCTT